GTAACTAAATTTCTAATTCCATGCACTTTGATGTTACAGCACAAACATATTAACATGGATGCCCCTATGATGGTCCAGTGCAAGTGCAAAGGCATGATATATTAATCAAACAGATAAAGGCCATTGAAGCACTTGCAAATGATCGAAGTAACGTGACTCTTAACTATGCAAGGTATTTCCTTTAGGACGTGTACGTAGCAGCACTCTATTTTGTGCACTAGCTCCCATGTCAAGTTTTATTTTATCTTCACCAACAAGCACGACGCCTTTAAAAAGACCAAGTGTCCAACTTGCACGCAAGACAGATACCAATGCTTCTCAATCATTCTGCGACACAACTCCAACACCTCTTCAATCATGTCCTTAGTAAAATTATAGATCTTGATTTGCAACATGTCCTTGGTCCTTCTTGGACATCAGACCACATAAAATTGATAAACTTGAAGTTAAGATATGGTTTTCCAACAAGATAAAGAAGAATGATTCTTAAGAATGATTAACTTTAGAACCCTATAAAAAGTCATTATATATTTAAAAACAAAAGTATGACATGAAGATTTGATCAAAGAACGGAGCATTGGAGGATGATTAGAATCTCCTTAATCATGTAGTCTTTTTTCTGCTAGGTTTGTCTATACAAAATCAGTAACCATTCACTGTGGTGTACTACAAACATGGATATAATATTTCCTTTGCATGCTGTATAGATATAGACAGAGATAATGGGTACATAACCCATTTATTTGTTGTTGTATTCCCACTGTGTTTGTATCCTACTTTTTCAGAAATAATTGTCAACTTGTCCGTGCCATGTCATGTTTAAGCCCCAGTTCTTTCCCTTGATTCTTGATTTCAAAGTTGCTATACTAGACACCAAAACTATTTGTCTTCTAAAAAAATAAAAAATAAAAATTGACCTTTATTGCCTATTACGACTATTAGATTACCCAGTAAGCAAACATGATACGGTATCTTCTTGTAGTCAACTTATTTTAACAAGCCTATATGCAGTTCATTTTTCCTCGATCATTAATGCAATCACTACGATATTAAACCACCCGTGCTATTTATGCTGCAACTGTACTGTCAGCCTATTTCTTTTGTTTTTAGGTGTTTTATCAACCTTAAATTCATTTCAAGACAATGGAACCCCCAGTCAATACATAGACCGGAATTAAATGACCAGAAGCCAAGGAGAGAAAGGTAGGATTACAAGAAAGTATATTAGTGAAATGCTTGAAGAAGCACCAAGAAGAGATAAATGAAGAATCGGCTTAGGTTGTTTGAACATGTTTATAGAAGACATATTGCTACACCAGTAAGGGAGAATGATGTGATACATATTGATACAAATGCGAGGAAGAAAGGTAGACCAAAATTAACTTTGAATAAGATAGATGGTGAAAAATTATGATAGCTTACAGATTAACATTCATATTACCTTTACTTTTTGAAAAAAAATATACATATCACCGTTGATAGAGCACAATGACGGAATATGATTCATGTAGCTGGCCCAAATAGTTGGGAGTCCGGACAAGGTTTCATTGCATTGAGTTGAGCCATTTTCAATCTTTCTGGCATCAATTTTACATTTTTCTCTTCTTTCAAAAAACAGTCATTCAACTTTAATACTATGAAAAGTATAATAAATACATTCGAAATTCCACAAAATCATTAGGTTTTTTATTGCTATTAGTATAAACAATCTATGAAATTAAANGCTTGATCTATGTCTTAATCCACCCAAGGCGGATTCCTAAACAAAAGGGCCTCCATGCACTTATTGAGCCTAAGATTTTCCCCTGGACAATAAGGAAATTCCACATGCATAATTAAGGGAGCCAGAGAAAGGTGACTAGAACAGTGAGCCAAAAGAAAGAGGTCTTAGGTTCTTCTTTCCTAACCACCTGAGTGCCATCTAGCTCTTGGAAAAGGAAGGGGAAAGCCTAAGTTAAGTGGAGATCCCTTTTTTATTAATAGGAAGTGGATGGAGGTTGGTTGTAGAGAAGAGAGCAAGAAGTCCAAGTCCTATCCTTACTATCCTAACTCCTCTTCCTGCTATAAGAGAAAGGCCTTCTCCCATGAGTTGTTTGTAGTCATTTTTGCTTTTAAGGACGATAATGGCCCCTCATAGGAGTGGGTAAGGTGGTAAGCTCCTCGAAAGAGGGGTGAGCAAAATGGATTCACCAAGTATGAGATCATATCTATGAATAATGCCACTCTCTCTCTTTGATCAAGAGATATCATAAACTTCCTCAAGCAGATCAGAATTTTGGCAAGTTGTCATCATATAGTTGTCCTAGAATCAATAGCATTCCATTAGGAGGCTTACACCCATTTGCATTAATTTATCTAAAGTTCAAACAAAACCAACTCCCAAAAAGCAATTACAACAACTATTCATGCCATCTGTTTATGTGTTCTAACATAGCCTACATTGATACTGGTTTCTTATGTGTCATAGTTAATGATGCCAACTTTATCACTAGTTAGCATGCATCCTGTTTGTATAAACAAATCTCTTTCAAAAATAACCACCAATACACTGATAGTCAGTCACCTACCTCATCGTCCGTCAGTGACTTAGGGGTTGGGCATTTCTGAACAATCCCCATGATGTCATAAATCACATTCAATGAATTGAAAGGTGAAGGATTTTTCCTTTTTGATAGGATTCACTTTGGTGGGAAATGCTTCAAAATAAGGAGCATTAGGCAGTACTAAAGAACAGATTTTTTTTAGGGGGGAGGGAGAGAGAGAGAAGAAGGTGAGAAGAGAATAGGAGAAAGAGAGGACCAAAAAAGAAGATGGAAGAAAGAGAAGGGAAAAGGAAGAGGAATGGAAGTGAGAGGAGAGAAATCTAAATTCCATTGAGTCAACAACTCTAAAATTAAATCATCATCATTATAAACACAAAAGGGTTGATTGAAGCTAAGGTTGAAGATTAGAGCCTACAAAGCACTAATACCCGATACTGGTTGGATACTTGTGAATATGTATCGGATACTTTCCACACGTATCAAATAATTAATAAAATATTATACTTGTCGGATACACTTTGGATACGCGTATCTCTATGGTGAATACATTCATCTTATACTTAGCGAGGTGGGTTGTTTAGAAATCTTGAATCATACAAATGGGGATTCCTCATTTCAGGATGTTCATTCGGACGTGCGTCACATATATCACAAGATTTGTCAATTCTTTACGATTTAGTTGGCTTGAAATGAGTTTTTAAGACATATGTTAAAAGCCAATGAAGTCTATTTAAATTAAATGTTAAATAAAAGTTGAGGATTCTCGAAGGGTGACTTGTCTTCAACTTTAGAATTACATAAAATCTTGAATTTAAAACATCATTGAGTAGTCATATGTCAGTAACATAAATTATTTTAGTTTGGATGTGTTTTATTTCTTAATCCCTCATATCCCTAGTGTTGCAATAATATTCTAATATATATATATATATATATAAATAAATGTATCCTAATTGTACCTGTATTCTACTTTTTAAGATTTTGTTTTATCATTGTATCTATATTGTGTCCTATATCCGTGCTTCCTAGATTAAAGCTCATGGATTAATTTTAGTATTATTTCCCAATTTGAAACTTATTGGTTGTATTTTCTAAATTGATGTATTTAAATATCCTTATAATTTTTTATGTATTTTTTCATTTGGGTCTCCCACTCTCGTCTGGATCAATTGATAGGTAATGCAAAAGTATTAGATGAAGCTTAGGTTGAATATAAACATTTTGAGAATTGTTTCAATACTATTTCCTAATTTAAGAAGTATTGGTTTTTATTTTCTTAATCTACGTATTAAAATATCATCATCAAGATTTTATGTAATTATAAATATAGTGGATGTAGGGCATTTCCAATAAATATGGTCCTTAGTGTAAAAATTTAGTCAATTTTAGCAATATCAAATTGAATTGGATTTGGATCTCTCTCCTCCCTCACATCTATTTATGTTCCTTTCCTTCTATATTTTTTCCTTCTTCTCTTCTTTCTTTTTCTCACTCTTTCTCCCATAATCTATATTCTTTGGCCCTGAATCAATTGGTAATCAAACCCAACTATCGTCGGGTGTTGCTTTTGTAACGCCAACAGACATTGAAATCCATATCATGGTCGGCTAATAAACCACCATTATCATCATAGCTTTGTCAGTTTTGTCAAAAAAAATTCCATCACCCCTTTGCATGGATAAAATCCACACTGTAACTTTGTGGGCACACAGATGTGAATAACCTATTGCTACCACATGTGTTTTCACTATCCATCGACATCGTGCATGTGGACATCTTCTTGTTGGAAGATATGGAAAGTTTTTTTTTCCCCAGAAAGTGATATGGAAAGGTTAGACATCCTTTGATTTGTTTTTGTCAGTTTCTCGTTGAGTTGCACACTCAATTAGATTCAAGTTGGAGGTCATGACTCATGAGGTTGAAGATGACCAAAATCTGATATTGAGTTGATCCGATCCAACAAGTTTAACCCAAATCCCACTCTTATTGCAACAAGTTTGCAATATCTATATAGAAAAAGTTATGTTATGGTCCAGCCCACTGGTCATGACTTCTGGAATGGCAATGGGTCACTTATTTTGCCCAAGCCCTGCCTATACACAAAAGAACAAAATCCCATGCCCATATTTTCCCTGTATGGGTGGGCACTGCTCAATGCCACCCTATATATTATCAGTATAGATAAGCAGGAAAATTTTTTGTGAGTGGGACAGGCAATGAATTGATTACCATCTTGTCAAAGGGTATCAGCTTTGAGACATATAGAACATGATATTAGAGCTTTGGTTCAGGAGACTCTTAGCATGGCTTTGTGACATAGGCTGCAAGCCACGTGCCAAGGCACAATAGGAAAAAGAAAAGACAAAAAAAATCCAGGAGGTAAGAGAAGGAAAAAGAAGAGAAAGTAGTGTCAAACATTTGCCAGATCTCAACCAACTCTTATCAATGGTGCCAAAGTCAGAAACTAGTCTGGACATCAGTTTTGTCTTCATATAGGAGATGCATCCCAACGAACATTCCAACACACTGCCCTAAATGTATTTTCTGTTCCCAATACCCAAAGAGAGTCCCATGTACATTGACTACAGTCTGACAATCATACGGCTCTGCTAAAAAGTCAGGTATCAAAACGTATTCCACCAATATTATGTCATTTTACACGAAAACAAATCCACAAAGCACCCCCAAAAAGAAACAAGCCACACATGCTTGAAACAAGAAGAAACTAAATGGTCATGCTATTGCATGGTTAGAAAGACAAGGGCATGAAATTGTATTCTTTGCATAGATAAAGCCTAACAAAATTGCAAAATGTAAATTAAAAGTAACAGTTGTTGTCAAGTATTGCCAAGATTTGGGGCCAATAAGCTCCTTGTATATCCATTTTGACATTTGAGGGACATTACCAGATAATGAGCGCTCTTCTTGACACCTAGCAAAGTCCCAAACTTTAACAGTAGTGTCATCAGAGCAGGAGCAGAACTTCAAATCTGTCCGACAGAAGCTGTTCAAAAAATCGAGCATTACAATATGAAATGTTTCATGGAGAAAAATGTGTTGCTGTTTAAATCTTTTGTATTTCACAACTAAAGCAATAAACCTAAATGAACAAATGGAGGGCAAGGCAACCCATGTGGACAATTGATATACACTAGAAAAGAGAAATTATGAATCCTAAACCATAACTATCAAAACTAATATCCTGATTTCTTTTGTGTAAGGACACCCTCAAAGACAGAGTTCTACCTTAAGTCACGGACAGATTCTTTATGTGCAGATTTATTGGCCTTCACATTGTTCATATTGTTTTGCCAATACCTACAGATGCCACCATTATAAAAATTAATACAAAGGTAAAATTGTCCAATCAACCAAAATAAAAGGAAAACGCTTAAGAAGATTGCCGAAATATATCAAATAATGCATTTACTTTATTGCGCCACCATCGTCACCAGTGACCATCCAGTTCTCATTGTAACTCCATACCATAGACCTGACTGCTTGATCATGAGCCTGCACATTAATAAAGGTTCCAACACATATCAATTTGGGTTCTTTTATAAGTACTGAAAATAGGAGAAAAACCTCAAACTGCATACCTGCAATATCATCTCAAAATTAAATGACTGCCCATTCCAAAGAGTGAATTCCCCACTTTGAGAGCCTGTTATAAGACGCCTCCCACTAGGAGTCCACTTTAAACAAAGACATGGTCAGGAACCAGTGAAACAGAAAAAAAAAACAAAAAAATCCATTGCATCATTATGTACTACTAATGTTGACAACAAACGGATTCTGCTAAGCCTCATAAACTGGTCTGCTTATGATATTTTATAGCAAATTGAACAAAAGAATGCAAACAAGACGGCCAAAAATTAGGCTTCTACAAAGATAAAATTAGCATTTGCAATTATTCACTTCAACAAGTTTGCAGCTTCCAAAGAGGACTTTCCAAGAAGAAGCCACCCGACCTAACTTCTACTAAATAACTTTTCATTGATGACCTTCTAGAAGCCTGTCATTATAACTTCAGCAATAATTCTTCAAAAAGGGCCTTTGTGGGCAAGGAAACCATTTGAAGCTTCCCCCAAATACATATAAGCTAAATTCTTTAAACCTATAAAAGCACTAAAGGGCGGTCACAATTGCGGAAACAGTCTCTCCGCATGCAAAGGTAAGGTCATGTATGTTTGAGTGTCTCTAGATGCATAGGGTTGCCCTTTAGCAGGATACAGTCCATGGGTTCCATAACAATATTCTACTCGTTTGTATTTTGTTTCGCTTCTGTTTGTATCTCCGCCCTCTAACTTCAATTCTATTTTTTTTTTTCTTTTTCTCAAAGATTGAATGCAGTATTTTCAATTTGGAATGCTCTGTTATTTCTGAAAATTTTGAATTGGATACTAATTCTCGCTCAAATTTGGGTTCATATTCTTAAACACTTTAGCTACTCGAAATTTAGGGGAAGAACATTTACTTGTTTCACCATAACTGCATATTGCTCCAGAAAGTTAGAGAATAAATGTTATAGTATTTCTAAAACAGGTTGTATTCATGTCACGCATGGAAATATAAGAGAAATATGTGTATCTGTCTGTGTGTGCAGAGAGAGAGAGAGAGAGAGAAGGGCTAAGAAATTATGCATCTCAAATCCAACTCACCAAAACACGATTAATTGAACAACGATTTTTGTTCAGAGATGTATGAACAAACTTCGCAGCAAAACCCGTGGATGGATTATCAAGATAGGCAACTGTGGGCAACATCTGCATCAACGATCAACAGAAATGACATTTCTAGACTATATCAAAATAGAAACAAAGTTTGAATCAATGCAACGAATTGCGAAAGCAATTACAATGTGATTGACAATAACAATCTAATGTAACTACCATCCACGGAAGGATCCACACAAACGAGAAGAGTGTCATTTTTTTCTTTTATAAAACAATAACATTATCAACAGACAAGAAAGAAACAAAATACAGATAGAGAAGATATCCTCAAAAGAAAGAAAGAACAATTTAAAAATGCAATGCAAAAAACTATTTGAAAAAACAAAACAAAATAGAACTGCCTTCCAACCCTGCTGAATATCCAACAGGGGCATCTCATTGAAATTCCCTATAAATATGCACATGAAAAAGCAAGGAACACAATTCTATCCCTACTAAATGGAAGAGCACAATCCTGAAAAATTCTTGCATTTATCTTTAACCAGATTCACCAAAGAACTGCCAATGACGGAGAATTCCACAGAACATTAGCTTACTTGCTCTTCCCAAAGCTCCAAAACTTAATATACCACAACAACTCCACTCTAGNCGAAGAGAATCGGAGAAAGAGAGGACCAAAAAAGAAGATGGAAGAAAGAGAAGGGAAAAGGAAGAGGAATAGAAGTGAGAGGAGAGAATCTAAATTCCATTGAGTCAACAACTCTAAAATTAAATCATCATCATTATAAACACAAAAGGGTTGATTGAAGCTAAGGTTGAAGATTAGAGCCTACAAAGCACTAATACTTTAATCGTGGTAACGTATCCGTATCGGATACCGATACTGGTTGGATACTTGTGAATATGTATCGGATACTTTCCACACGTATCAAATAATTAATAAAATATTATACTTGTCGGATACACCTTGGATACGCGTATCTCTATGGTGAATACATTCATCTTATACTTAGCGAGGTGGGTTGTTTAGAAATCTTGAATCATACAAATGGGGATTCCTCATTTCAGGATGTTCATTCGGACGTGCGTCACATATATCACAAGATTTGTCAATTCTTTACGATTTAGTTGGCTTGAAATGAGTTTTTAAGACATATGTTAAAAGCCAATGAAGTCTATTTAAATTAAATGTTAAATAAAAGTTGAGGATTCTCGAAGGGTGACTTGTCTTCAACTTTAGAATTACATAAAATCTTGAATTTAAAACATCATTGAGTAGTCATATGTCAGTAACATAAATTATTTTAGTTTGGATGTGTTTTATTTCTTAATCCCTCATATCCCTAGTGTTGCAATAATATTCTAATATATATATATATATATATAAATAAATGTATCCTAATTGTACCTGTATTCTACTTTTTAAGATTTTGTTTTATCATTGTATCTATATTGTGTCCTATATCCGTGCTTCCTAGATTAAAGCTCATGGATTAATTTTAGTATTATTTCCCAATTTGAAACTTATTGGTTGTATTTTCTAAATTGATGTATTTAAATATCCTTATAATTTTTTATGTATTTTTTCATTTGGGTCTCCCACTCTCGTCTGGATCAATTGATAGGTAATGCAAAAGTATTAGATGAAGCTTAGGTTGAATATAAACATTTTGAGAATTGTTTCAATACTATTTCCTAATTTAAGAAGTATTGGTTTTTATTTTCTTAATCTACGTATTAAAATATCATCATCAAGATTTTATGTAATTATAAATATAGTGGATGTAGGGCATTTCCAATAAATATGGTCCTTAGTGTAAAAATTTAGTCAATTTTAGCAATATCAAATTGAATTGGATTTGGATCTCTCTCCTCCCTCACATCTATTTATGTTCCTTTCCTTCTATATTTTTTCCTTCTTCTCTTCTTTCTTTTTCTCACTCTTTCTCCCATAATCTATATTCTTTGGCCCTGAATCAATTGGTAATCAAACCCAACTATCGTCGGGTGTTGCTTTTGTAACGCCAACAGACATTGAAATCCATATCATGGTCGGCTAATAAACCACCATTATCATCATAGCTTTGTCAGTTTTGTCAAAAAAAATTCCATCACCCCTTTGCATGGATAAAATCCACACTGTAACTTTGTGGGCACACAGATGTGAATAACCTATTGCTACCACATGTGTTTTCACTATCCATCGACATCGTGCATGTGGACATCTTCTTGTTGGAAGATATGGAAAGTTTTTTTTTCCCCAGAAAGTGATATGGAAAGGTTAGACATCCTTTGATTTGTTTTTGTCAGTTTCTCGTTGAGTTGCACACTCAATTAGATTCAAGTTGGAGGTCATGACTCATGAGGTTGAAGATGACCAAAATCTGATATTGAGTTGATCCGATCCAACAAGTTTAACCCAAATCCCACTCTTATTGCAACAAGTTTGCAATATCTATATAGAAAAAGTTATGTTATGGTCCAGCCCACTGGTCATGACTTCTGGAATGGCAATGGGTCACTTATTTTGCCCAAGCCCTGCCTATACACAAAAGAACAAAATCCCATGCCCATATTTTCCCTGTATGGGTGGGCACTGCTCAATGCCACCCTATATATTATCAGTATAGATAAGCAGGAAAATTTTTTGTGAGTGGGACAGGCAATGAATTGATTACCATCTTGTCAAAGGGTATCAGCTTTGAGACATATAGAACATGATATTAGAGCTTTGGTTCAGGAGACTCTTAGCATGGCTTTGTGACATAGGCTGCAAGCCACGTGCCAAGGCACAATAGGAAAAAGAAAAGACAAAAAAAATCCAGGAGGTAAGAGAAGGAAAAAGAAGAGAAAGTAGTGTCAAACATTTGCCAGATCTCAACCAACTCTTATCAATGGTGCCAAAGTCAGAAACTAGTCTGGACATCAGTTTTGTCTTCATATAGGAGATGCATCCCAACGAACATTCCAACACACTGCCCTAAATGTATTTTCTGTTCCCAATACCCAAAGAGAGTCCCATGTACATTGACTACAGTCTGACAATCATACGGCTCTGCTAAAAAGTCAGGTATCAAAACGTATTCCACCAATATTATGTCATTTTACACGAAAACAAATCCACAAAGCACCCCCAACAAGAAACAAGCCACACATGCTTGAAACAAGAAGAAACTAAATGGTCATGCTATTGCATGGTTAGAAAGACAAGGGCATGAAATTGTATTCTTTGCATAGATAAAGCCTAACAAAATTGCAAAATGTAAATTAAAAGTAACAGTTGTTGTCAAGTATTGCCAAGATTTGGGGCCAATAAGCTCCTTGTATATCCATTTTGACATTTGAGGGACATTACCAGATAATGAGCGCTCTTCTTGACACCTAGCAAAGTCCCAAACTTTAACAGTAGTGTCATCAGAGCAGGAGCAGAACTTCAAATCTGTCCGACAGAAGCTGTTCAAAAAATCGAGCATTACAATATGAAATGTTTCATGGAGAAAAATGTGTTGCTGTTTAAATCTTTTGTATTTCACAACTAAAGCAATAAACCTAAATGAACAAATGGAGGGCAAGGCAACCCATGTGGACAATTGATATACACTAGAAAAGAGAAATTATGAATCCTAAACCATAACTATCAAAACTAATATCCTGATTTCTTTTGTGTAAGGACACCCTCAAAGACAGAGTTCTACCTTAAGTCACGGACAGATTCTTTATGTGCAGATTTATTGGCCTTCACATTGTTCATATTGTTTTGCCAATACCTACAGATGCCACCATTATAAAAATTAATACAAAGGTAAAATTGTCCAATCAACCAAAATAAAAGGAAAACGCTTAAGAAGATTGCCGAAATATATCAAATAATGCATTTACTTTATTGCGCCACCATCGTCACCAGTGACCATCCAGTTCTCATTGTAACTCCATACCATAGACCTGACTGCTTGATCATGAGCCTGCACATTAATAAAGGTTCCAACACATATCAATTTGGGTTCTTTTATAAGTACTGAAAATAGGAGAAAAACCTCAAACTGCATACCTGCAATATCATCTCAAAATTAAATGACTGCCCATTCCAAAGAGTGAATTCCCCACTTTGAGAGCCTGTTATAAGACGCCTCCCACTAGGAGTCCACTTTAAACAAAGACATGGTCAGGAACCAGTGAAACAGAAAAAAAAAACAAAAAATCCATTGCATCATTATGTACTACTAATGTTGACAACAAACGGATTCTGCTAAGCCTCATAAACTGGTCTGCTTATGATATGTTATAGCAAATTGAACAAAAGAATGCAAACAAGACGGCCAAAAATTAGGCTTCTACAAAGATAAAATTAGCATTTGCAATTATTCACTTCAACAAGTTTGCAGCTTCCAAAGAGGACTTTCCAAGAAGAAGCCACCCGACCTAACTTCTACTAAATAACTTTTCATTGATGACCTTCTAGAAGCCTGTCATTATAACTTCAGCAATAATTCTTCAAAAAGGGCCTTTGTGGGCAAGGAAACCATTTGAAGCTTCCCCCAAATACATATAAGCTAAATTCTTTAAACCTATAAAAGCACTAAAGGGCGGTCACAATTGCGGAAACAGTCTCTCCGCATGCAAAGGTAAGGTCATGTATGTTTGAGTGTCTCTAGATGCATAGGGTTGCCCTTTAGCAGGATACAGTCCATGGGTTCCATAACAATATTCTACTCGTTTGTATTTTGTTTCGCTTCTGTTTGTATCTCCGCCCTCTAACTTCAATTCTATTTTTTTTTTTCTTTTTCTCAAAGATTGAATGCAGTATTTTCAATTTGGAATGCTCTGTTATTTCTGAAAATTTTGAATTGGATACTAATTCTCGCTCAAATTTGGGTTCATATTCTTAAACACTTTAGCTACTCGAAATTTAGGGGAAGAACATTTACTTGTTTCACCATAACTGCATATTGCTCCAGAAAGTTAGAGAATAAATGTTATAGTATTTCTAAAACAGGTTGTATTCATGTCACGCATGGAAATATAAGAGAAATATGTGTATCTGTCTGTGTGTGCAGAGAGAGAGAGAGAGAGAGAAGGGCTAAGAAATTATGCATCTCAAATCCAACTCACCAAAACACGATTAATTGAACAACGATTTTTGTTCAGAGATGTATGAACAAACTTCGCAGCAAAACCTGTGGATGGATTATCAAGATAGGCAACTGTGGGCAACATCTGCATCAACGATCAACAGAAATGACATTTCTAGACTATATCAAAATAGAAACAAAGTTTGAATCAATGCAACGAATTGCGAAAGCAATTACAATGTGATTGACAATAACAATCTAATGTAACTACCATCCACGGAAGGATCCACACAAACGAGAAGAGTGTCATTTTTTTCTTTTATAAAACAATAACATTATCAACAGACAAGAAAGAAACAAAATACAGATAGAGAGGATATCCTCAAAAGAAAGAAAGAACAATTTAAAAATGCAATGCAAAAAACTATTTGAAAAAACAAAACAAAATAGAACTGCCTTCCAACCCTGCTGAATATCCAACAGGGGCATCTCATTGAAATTCCCTATAAATATGCACATGAAAAAGCAAGGAACACAATTCTATCCCTACTAAATGGAAGAGCACAATCCTGAACAATTCTTGCATTTATCTTTAACCAGATTCACCAAAGAACTGCCAATGATGGAGAATTCCACAGAACATTAGCTTACTTGCTCTTCCCAAAGCTCCAAAACTTAATATACCACAACAACTCCACTCTAGACGAACAAAACCAAAACTTTCCAATCACATTAAACAAGTTACTTCACAAATTCCCACGCAAAAGCACAGTAACGGAATAAAAGAATATTTGCCTCTCCGGTCCTCAAACACGTTAAGCAAGTATCAAGACTTAAAGCACAGATAGATGGGCGGATAGTAAGATGAAAGAGGGAGGGGAAGAGAGAGAAGAGAAGGGAATGGGAGGGATACATCATTTCATCCGCCCAAATTGAGAGGAAAGGAGAAGGAAAAGAGGTCTGACCTTGATGCCAATTGCCAAACCTACACTCATATACACAGTAAAGAGAGACAATAGATGGGAGAGAAGGAGAGAGGACACTGAAACCCCATCACTTTCTCTTGACTTTTTTGCCCTTTCTAACATTACGATTGTTAAGCTCATAATTGTTGAATGACATAAAACCTCTTCCATTCCCTTCCCTCCCTCCTTTCCAACTAGACATACAACGANCAGATTTGTCAATTCTTTACGATTGAAATGAGTTTTTATGACATATGTTAAAAGCCAATGAAGTCTATTTAAATTAAATGTTAAATAAAAGTTGAGNGAGAAAGACTCCTTCGCTCCAAGGGAAACAACTTTAATCCCTCCTCGCTTACCTTACTCTCCAATTCCCCCCCCCCCTTTTTTTTCTTTCCCCCAACCACTAGCAAACATAGCATAAAAGACAGNAAGATTTGTCAATTCTTTACGATTTAGTTGGCTTGAAATGAGTTTTTAAGACATATGTTAAAAGCCAATGAAGTCTATTTAAATTAAATGTTAAATAAAAGTTGAGGATTCTCGAAGGGTGACTTGTCTTCAACTTTAGAATTACATAAAATCTTGAATTTAAAACATCATTGAGTAGTCATATGTCAGTAACATAAATTATTTTAGTTTGGATGTGTTTTATTTCTTAATCCCTCATATCCCTAGTGTTGCAATAATATTCTAATATATATATATATATATATAAATAAATGTATCCTAATTGTACCTGTATTCTACTTTTTAAGATTTTGTTGTATCATTGTATCCATATTGTGTCCTATATCCGTGCTTCCTAGATTAAAGCTCATGGATTAATTTTAGTATTATTTCCCAATTTGGAACTTATTGGTTGTATTTTCTAAATTGATGTATTTAAATATCCTTATAATTTTTTATNTATATATATATATATAAATAAATGTATCCTAATTGTACCTGTATTCTACTTTTTAAGATTTTGTTTTATCATTGTATCTATATTGTGTCCTATATCCGTGCTTCCTAGATTAAAGCTCATGGATTAATTTTAGTATTATTTCCCAATTTGAAACTTATTGGTTGTATTTTCTAAATTGATGTATTTAAATATCCTTATAATTTTTTATGTATTTTTTCATTTGGGTCTCCCACTCTCGTCTGGATCAATTGATAGGTAATGCAAAAGTATTAGATGAAGCTTAGGTTGAATATAAACATTTTGAGAATTGTTTCAATACTATTTCCTAATTTAAGAAGTATTGGTTTTTATTTTCTTAATCTACGTATTAAAATATCATCATCAAGATTTTATGTAATTATAAATATAGTGGATGTAGGGCATTTCCAATAAATATGGTCCTTAGTGTAAAAATTTAGTCAATTTTAGCAATATCAAATTGAATTGGATTTGGATCTCTCTCCTCCCTCACATCTATTTATGTTCCTTTCCTTCTATATTTTTTCCTTCTTCTCTTCTTTCTTTTTCTCACTCTTTCTCCCATAATCTATATTCTTTGGCCCTGAATCAATTGGTAATCAAACCCAACTATCGTCGGGTGTTGCTTTTGTAACGCCAACAGACATTGAAATCCATATCATGGTCGGCTAATAAACCACCATTATCATCATAGCTTTGTCAGTTTTGTCAAAAAAAATTCCATCACCCCTTTGCATGGATAAAATCCACACTGTAACTTTGTGGGCACACAGATGTGAATAACCTATTGCTACCACATGTGTTTTCACTATCCATCGACATCGTGCATGTGGACATCTTCTTGTTGGAAGATATGGAAAGTTTTTTTTTCCCCAGAAAGTGATATGGAAAGGTTAGACATCCTTTGATTTGTTTTTGTCAGTTTCTCGTTGAGTTGCACACTCAATTAGATTCAAGTTGGAGGTCATGACTCATGAGGTTGAAGATGACCAAAATCTGATATTGAGTTGATCCGATCCAACAAGTTTAACCCAAATCCCACTCTTATTGCAACAAGTTTACAATATCTATATAGAAAAAGTTATGTTATGGTCCAGCCCACTGGTCATGACTTCTGGAATGGCAATGGGTCACTTATTTTGCCCAAGCTCTGCCTATACACAAAAGAACAAAATCCCATGCCCATATTTTCCCTGTATGGGTGGGCACTGCTCAATGCCACCCTATATATTATCAGTATAGATAAGCAGGAAAATTTTTTGTGAGTGGGACAGGCAATGAATTGATTACCATCTTGTCAAAGGGTATCAGCTTTGAGACATATAGAACATGATATTAGAGCTTTGGTTCAGGAGACTCTTAGCATGGCTTTGTGACATAGGCTGCAAGCCACGTGCCAAGGCACAATAGGAAAAAGAAAAGACAAAAAAAATCCAGGAGGTAAGAGAAGGAAAAAGAAGAGAAAGTAGTGTCAAACATTTGCCAGATCTCAACCAACTCTTATCAATGGTGCCAAAGTCAGAAACTAGTCTGGACATCAGTTTTGTCTTCATATAGGAGATGCATCCCAACGAACATTCCAACACACTGCCCTAAATGTATTTTCTGTTCCCAATACCCAAAGAGAGTCCCATGTACATTGACTACAGTCTGACAATCATACGGCTCTGCTAAAAAGTCAGGTATCAAAACGTATTCCACCAATATTATGTCATTTTACACGAAAACAAATCCACAAAGCACCCCCAACAAGAAACAAGCCACACATGCTTGAAACAAGAAGAAACTAAATGGTCATGCTATTGCATGGTTAGAAAGACAAGGGCATGAAATTGTATTCTTTGCATAGATAAAGCCTAACAAAATTGCAAAATGTAAATTAAAAGTAACAGTTGTTGTCAAGTATTGCCAAGATTTGGGGCCAATAAGCTCCTTGTATATCCATTTTGACATTTGAGGGACATTACCAGATAATGAGCGCTCTTCTTGACACCTAGCAAAGTCCCAAACTTTAACAGTAGTGTCATCAGAGCAGGAGCAGAACTTCAAATCTGTCCGACAGAAGCTGTTCAAAAAATCGAGCATTACAATATGAAATGTTTCATGGAGAAAAATGTGTTGCTGTTTAAATCTTTTGTATTTCACAACTAAAGCAATAAACCTAAATGAACAAATGGAGGGCAAGGCAACCCATGTGGACAATTGATATACACTAGAAAAGAGAAATTATGAATCCTAAACCATAACTATCAAAACTAATATCCTGATTTCTTTTGTGTAAGGACACCCTCAAAGACAGAGTTCTACCTTAAGTCACGGACAGATTCTTTATGTGCAGATTTATTGGCCTTCACATTGTTCATATTGTTTTGCCAATACCTACAGATGCCACCATTATAAAAATTAATACAAAGGTAAAATTGTCCAATCAACCAAAATAAAAGGAAAACGCTTAAGAAGATTGCCGAAATATATCAAATAATGCATTTACTTTATTGCGCCACCATCGTCACCAGTGACCATCCAGTTCTCATTGTAACTCCATACCATAGACCTGACTGCTTGATCATGAGCCTGCACATTAATAAAGGTTCCAACACATATCAATTTGGGTTCTTTTATAAGTACTGAAAATAGGAGAAAAACCTCAAACTGCATACCTGCAATATCATCTCAAAATTAAATGACTGCCCATTCCAAAGAGTGAATTCCCCACTTTGAGAGCCTGTTATAAGACGCCTCCCACTAGGAGTCCACTTTAAACAAAGACATGGTCAGGAACCAGTGAAACAGAAAAAAAAAACAAAAAATCCATTGCATCATTATGTACTACTAATGTTGACAACAAACGGATTCTGCTAAGCCTCATAAACTGGTCTGCTTATGATATGTTATAGCAAATTGAACAAAAGAATGCAAACAAGACGGCCAAAAATTAGGCTTCTACAAAGATAAAATTAGCATTTGCAATTATTCACTTCAACAAGTTTGCAGCTTCCAAAGAGGACTTTCCAAGAAGAAGCCACCCGACCTAACTTCTACTAAATAACTTTTCATTGATGACCTTCTAGAAGCCTGTCATTATAACTTCAGCAATAATTCTTCAAAAAGGGCCTTTGTGGGCAAGGAAACCATTTGAAGCTTCCCCCAAATACATATAAGCTAAATTCTTTAAACCTATAAAAGCACTAAAGGGCGGTCACAATTGCGGAAACAGTCTCTCCGCATGCAAAGGTAAGGTCATGTATGTTTGAGTGTCTCTAGATGCATAGGGTTGCCCTTTAGCAGGATACAGTCCATGGGTTCCATAACAATATTCTACTCGTTTGTATTTTGTTTCGCTTCTGTTTGTATCTCCGCCCTCTAACTTCAATTCTATTTTTTTTTTTCTTTTTCTCAAAGATTGAATGCAGTATTTTCAATTTGGAATGCTCTGTTATTTCTGAAAATTTTGAATTGGATACTAATTCTCGCTCAAATTTGGGTTCATATTCTTAAACACTTTAGCTACTCGAAATTTAGGGGAAGAACATTTACTTGTTTCACCATAACTGCATATTGCTCCAGAAAGTTAGAGAATAAATGTTATAGTATTTCTAAAACAGGTTGTATTCATGTCACGCATGGAAATATAAGAGAAATATGTGTATCTGTCTGTGTGTGCAGAGAGAGAGAGAGAGAGAGAAGGGCTAAGAAATTATGCATCTCAAATCCAACTCACCAAAACACGATTAATTGAACAACGATTTTTGTTCAGAGATGTATGAACAAACTTCGCAGCAAAACCTGTGGATGGATTATCAAGATAGGCAACTGTGGGCAACATCTGCATCAACGATCAACAGAAATGACATTTCTAGACTATATCAAAATAGAAACAAAGTTTGAATCAATGCAACGAATTGCGAAAGCAATTACAATGTGATTGACAATAACAATCTAATGTAACTACCATCCACGGAAGGATCCACACAAACGAGAAGAGTGTCATTTTTTTCTTTTATAAAACAATAACATTATCAACAGACAAGAAAGAAACAAAATACAGATAGAGAAGATATCCTCAAAAGAAAGAAAGAACAATTTAAAAATGCAATGCAAAAAACTATTTGAAAAAACAAAACAAAATAGAACTGCCTTCCAACCCTGCTGAATATCCAACAGGGGCATCTCATTGAAATTCCCTATAAATATGCACATGAAAAAGCAAGGAACACAATTCTATCCCTACTAAATGGAAGAGCACAATCCTGAACAATTCTTGCATTTATCTTTAACCAGATTCACCAAAGAACTGCCAATGATGGAGAATTCCACAGAACATTAGCTTACTTGCTCTTCCCAAAGCTCCAAAACTTAATATACCACAACAACTCCACTCTAGACGAACAAAACCAAAACTTTCCAATCACATTAAACAAGTTACTTCACAAATTCCCACGCAAAAGCACAGTAACGGAATAAAAGAATATTTGCCTCTCCGGTCCTCAAACACGTTAAGCAAGTATCAAGACTTAAAGCACAGATAGATGGGCGGATAGTAAGATGAAAGAGGGAGGGGAAGAGAGAGAAGAGAAGGGAATGGGAGGGATACATCATTTCATCCGCCCAAATTGAGAGGAAAGGAGAAGGAAAAGAGGTCTGACCTTGATGCCAATTGCCAAACCTACACTCATATACACAGTAAAGAGAGACAATAGATGGGAGAGAAGGAGAGAGGACACTGAAACCCCATCACTTTCTCTTGACTTTTTTGCCCTTTCTAACATTACGATTGTTAAGCTCATAATTGTTGAATGACATAAAACCTCTTCCATTCCCTTCCCTCCCTCCTTTCCAACTAGACATACAACGAGAAAGACTCCTTCGCTCCAAGGGAAACAACTTTAATCCCTCCTCGCTTACCTTCCCCTCCAATTCCCCCCCCCCTTTTTTTTCTTTCCCCCAACCACTAGCAAACATAGCATAAAAGACAGACATATTGTCATCATCAATGGAACAAGAATATGCAAAAATAGCATTAACCCACATCGATGGCTGCTGCTGGGGTAGGTTGTAACACTGTTCTGTCCCTCGAACCCTGCTGCCACATACGAATCTGCATAAACAATCAAAATAAGATTAGCAAGATCACAAGCAAGCCAGCCTCCATTAAAATAACAAGAGCATCAATAATCCAATTCCAAAGTAAAGTGAATGCATGTGAAAATGAAAATCAGGACAACAGTAATGTTTTCCTGTGGTGGCAAAAAACTATACACTGCAAGGAAACATAAAATAGGAAACCACTGTATGCTGAACAAAAGCATCCAATAGAAAACAAAAACAACAAAAAGAAAAGGACTAGGCAATCAGAGTATCTCCAACAACTAATGAATGGCACGGCCAGCCAAACAGATGCATCCAGCAATTGTGGATGAATGCCAAAGTCTGTAACGGCTATTATAGTGCTAATTATAATGTCAAGTTCCAGATGAAACTCTGTACACATGTCTCGGACCGTTGCCAGTAGATTCACCATTCTAAACAGCAGTGAAATAGGAAACAACATCCTAATAACTTATTGATTGTGATTCAAATATTCTTCATTTGATTTCTAAGGATTCAAATTCAAGAAATAGACTAATCATACCCAGACTGGACCAATTCATCAAGCTCAATAAATAGTGGCCATGTGCTATAGCGGTCATGTTATCTATTACGACAGTAAGACAGTTTTAAGTAAAAGCCTGTGCTTGTGCTACCTATTTTTCCACAAAGCATGTAACTAGGCAGCTCTGGAAAACCCAGTTGCTAATCTCTATCCCACTCCAACGAAAATATATATAAAATCCCCTTAAGGAGACAAACAAGGGATGGGACTCATAAACTGTAATGAAAAATAATACCCAAGAACTTCAACCATTGAACCACATTTAATTGCTTTCAATTTCTTCTCTTTTTTTGGATAGATTTAAAGTATCTATGCCAAGAAAATAGGTAACAACATGATTACAAACCATGTCAATCAAGCATGCAAGTATTTACCAGCAAAAATTCTGCCGAAAGAAGCATGTATGCGAAAGAAAACATAACTAACCAAAAATCTCTACTTTTTAGTAACCAGGTGCTCACTGTGTTGTTTCAGCCTATTTGGCTGCCATGTGTCGAGCGTTCCTGGTCAGATTAGTTTTATATATCACACAAAGAATAGTCCATCATTCTAAGATTTTCAATCGCATCGCTCTAATGAGTCTGTTCCACTAGGACTGAGAAGCAGGGATATATATTTCTGGAACAGACACGGGCATGACACAAGTGTGCCATGCCAACACAGCAAAGATCTTGAAGGAGCCTGCTTTGATCTACAACTAATTTACTAGGATTCTCTGTTCTATAAACTTATTTTTCCTTGGACCACTTATTGACTGGATCACATAGGCACACAATTATAAAAGGAGTTAAATTTTCCTTTTGGATGGAAAAGTATATTATGAAAGACAGTAAACACTTGATAACAGTTCTGTTAACCATTCTATAACATAACTCTGAGCTACAAGCATACAATACCATTCTACTAATGCAGCCAGGAAAAACAAATAAAAGGGATATATGATGATAAACCAAATCATAAGCATGTGTTGGAGATACAATCCATCACAAATATGTGGAACCATGGANTCTACTAATGCAGCCAGGAAAAACAAATAAAAGGGATATATGATGATAAGCCAAATCATAAGCATGTGTTGGAGATACAATCCATCACAAATATGTGGAACCATGGATGGTAACCATGGAACACAGTGAAGTCAGTGAATAAAATCAGTCAAGTTGAGACAATGTGACATGGCNTAAGCCTCATAAACTGGTCTGCTTATGATATTTTATAGCAAATTGAACAAAAGAATGCAAACAAGACGGCCAAAAATTAGGCTTCTACAAAGATAAAATTAGCATTTGCAATTATTCACTTCAACAAGTTTGCAGCTTCCAAAGAGGACTTTCCAAGAAGAAGCCACCCGACCTAACTTCTACTAAATAACTTTTCATTGATGACCTTCTAGAAGCCTGTCATTATAACTTCAGCAATAATTCTTCAAAAAGGGCCTTTGTGGGCAAGGAAACCATTTGAAGCTTCCCCCAAATACATATAAGCTAAATTCTTTAAACCTATAAAAGCACTAAAGGGCGGTCACAATTGCGGAAACAGTCTCTCCGCATGCAAAGGTATGGTCATGTATGTTTGAGTGTCTCTAGATGCATAGGGTTGCCCTTTAGCAGGATACAGTCCATGGGTTCCATAACAATATTCTACTCGTTTGTATTTTGTTTCGCTTCTGTTTGTATCTCCGCCCTCTAACTTCAATTCTATTTTTTTTTTTCTTTTTCTCAAAGATTGAATGCAGTATTTTCAATTTGGAATGCTCTGTTATTTCTGAAAATTTTGAATTGGATACTAATTCTCGCTCAAATTTGGGTTCGTATTCTTAAACACTTTAGCTACTCGAAATTTAGGGGAAGAACATTTACTTGTTTCACCATAACTGCATATTGCTCCAGAAAGTTAGAGAATAAATGTTATAGTATTTCTAAAACAGGTTGTATTCATGTCACGCATGGAAATATAAGAGAAATATGTGTATCTGTCTGTGTGTGCAGAGAGAGAGAGAGAGAGAGAAGGGCTAAGAAATTATGCATCTCAAATCCAACTCACCAAAACACGATTAATTGAACAACGATTTTTGTTCAGAGATGTATGAACAAACTTCGCAGCAAAACCTGTGGATGGATTATCAAGATAGGCAACTGTGGGCAACATCTGCATCAACGATCAACAGAAATGACATTTCTAGACTATATCAAAATAGAAACAAAGTTTGAATCAATGCAACGAATTGCGAAAGCAATTACAATGTGATTGACAATAACAATCTAATGTAACTACCATCCACGGGAGGATCCACACAAACGAGAAGAGTGTCATTTTTTTCTTTTATAAAACAATAACATTATCAACAGACAAGAAAGAAACAAAATACAGATAGAGAAGATATCCTCAAAAGAAAGAAAGAACAATTTAAAAATGCAATGCAAAAAACTATTTGAAAAAACAAAACAAAATAGAACTGCCTTCCAACCCTGCTGAATATCCAACAGGGGCATCTCATTGAAATTCCCTATAAATATGCACATGAAAAAGCAAGGAACACAATTCTATCCCTACTAAATGGAAGAGCACAATCCTGAAAAATTCTTGCATTTATCTTTAACCAGATTCACCAAAGAACTGCCAATGACGGAGAATTCCACAGAACATTAGCTTACTTGCTCTTCCCAAAGCTCCAAAACTTAATATACCACAACAACTCCACTCTAGACGAACAAAACCAAAACTTTCCAATCACATTAAACAAGTTACTTCACAAATTCCCACGCAAAAGCACAGTAACGGAATAAAAGAATATTTGCCTCTCCGGTCCTCAAACACGTTAAGCAAGTATCAAGACTTAAAGCACAGATAGATGGGCGGATAGTAAGATGAAAGAGGGAGGGGAAGAGAGAGAAGAGAAGGGAATGGGAGGGATACATCATTTCATCCGCCCAAATTGAGAGGAAAGGAGAAGGAAAAGAGGTCTGACCTTGATGCCAATTGCCAAACCTACACTCATATACACAGTAAAGAGAGACAATAGATGGGAGAGAAGGAGAGAGGACACTGAAACCCCATCACTTTCTCTTGACTTTTTTGCCCTTTCTAACATTACGATTGTTAAGCTCATAATTGTTGAATGACATAAAACCTCTTCCATTCCCTTCCCTCCCTCCTTTCCAACTAGACATACAACGAGAAAGACTCCTTCGCTCCAAGGGAAACAACTTTAATCCCTCCTCGCTTACCTTCCCCTCCAATTCCCCCCCCCCTTTTTTTTCTTTCCCCCAACCACTAGCAAACATAGCATAAAAGACAGACATATTGTCATCATCAATGGAACAAGAATATGCAAAAATAGCATTAACCCACATCGATGGCTGCTGCTGGGGTAGGTTGTAACACTGTTCTGTCCCTCGAACCCTGCTGCCACATACGAATCTGCATAAACAATCAAAATAAGATTAGCAAGATCACAAGCAAGCCAGCCTCCATTAAAATAACAAGAGCATCAATAATCCAATTCCAAAGTAAAGTGAATGCATGTGAAAATGAAAATCAGGACAACAGTAATGTTTTCCTGTGGTGGCAAAAAACTATACACTGCAAGGAAACATAAAATAGGAAACCACTGTATGCTGAACAAAAGCATCCAATAGAAAACAAAAACAACAAAAAGAAAAGGACTAGGCAATCAGAGTATCTCCAACAACTAATGAATGGCACGGCCAGCCAAACAGATGCATCCAGCAATTGTGGATGAATGCCAAAGTCTGTAACGGCTATTATAGTGCTAATTATAATGTCAAGTTCCAGATGAAACTCTGTACACATGTCTCGGACCGTTGCCAGTAGATTCACCATTCTAAACAGCAGTGAAATAGGAAACAACATCCTAATAACTTATTGATTGTGATTCAAATATTCTTCATTTGATTTCTAAGGATTCAAATTCAAGAAATAGACTAATCATACCCAGACTGGACCAATTCATCAAGCTCAATAAATAGTGGCCATGTGCTATAGCGGTCATGTTATCTATTACGACAGTAAGACAGTTTTAAGTAAAAGCCTGTGCTTGTGCTACCTATTTTTCCACAAAGCATGTAACTAGGCAGCTCTGGAAAACCCAGTTGCTAATCTCTATCCCACTCCAACGAAAATATATATAAAATCCCCTTAAGGAGACAAACAAGGGATGGGACTCATAAACTGTAATGAAAAATAATACCCAAGAACTTCAACCATTGAACCACATTTAATTGCTTTCAATTTCTTCTCTTTTTTTGGATAGATTTAAAGTATCTATGCCAAGAAAATAGGTAACAACGTGATTACAAACCATGTCAATCAAGCATGCAAGTATTTACCAGCAAAAATTCTGCCGAAAGAAGCATGTATGCGAAAGAAAACATAACTAACCAAAAATCTCTACTTTTTAGTAACCAGGTGCTCACTGTGTTGTTTCAGCCTATTTGGCTGCCATGTGTCGAGCGTTCCTGGTCAGATTAGTTTTATATATCACACAAAGAATAGTCCATCATTCTAAGATTTTCAATCGCATCGCTCTAATGAGTCTGTTCCACTAGGACTGAGAAGCAGGGATATATATTTCTGGAACAGACACGGGCATGACACAAGTGTGCCATGCCAACACAGCAAAGATCTTGAAGGAGCCTGCTTTGATCTACAACTAATTTACTAGGATTCTCTGTTCTATAAACTTATTTTTCCTTGGACCACTTATTGACTGGATCACATAGGCACACAATTATAAAAGGAGTTAAATTTTCCTTTTGGATGGAAAAGTATATTATGAAAGACAGTAAACACTTGATAACAGTTCTGTTAACCATTCTATAACATAACTCTGAGCTACAAGCATACAATACCATTCTACTAATGCAGCCAGGAAAAACAAATAAAAGGGATATATGATGATAAGCCAAATCATAAGCATGTGTTGGAGATACAATCCATCACAAATATGTGGAACCATGGATGGTAACCATGGAACACAGTGAAGTCAGTGAATAAAATCAGTCAAGTTGAGACAATGTGACATGGCATCTCTAAAGAAGACCAAATATATCCCACCCAAATGGGTTGAAGATTCGTAGCTTACAAAAACAATGCACAGCGGGTTATATTTCTTCTGATAAGAAAAAAGGAAGGAAACAAGCAAACAAAAGGAAAAAACAGAGAGTGATGAATAATACAATAAATATCTTCCTAATACGAGTCATATAAAGGTGCAGTCATGAGACATAAGGACGAGTGTAAGTAGCACAAAAGGGATCAATAACTAAGAACAAAGAATTTCAAAAAAATTATCCACTTCTAGGTAAAATGCTACAAGAACTAATTTGTAAAAAATTCAAGCAAAATGTATCCACAAAGATCTGTAGAAACTAATCTAAACACAAATTACCTGCATATATCGGACAACAGTACTTGTATAATCAACAGCTCGCCTTTGGCCAATCTTTCTCATTCTTTTCGCAGCAAAACTGTCTGCGTGGGCTGCAAATGAATGGGAAGTCAAACAAGAGCATTAGCTGCCACCACCAAAGTTCTCATAGGGTAACATCAAAGAATCAAGATTTCAATTTGGTGCATACTTTCGGCCAGGTCAAAAACAAATACATTTTAAAAACATAATTGAAATGGAGAAACAAATTGCAGAGGTGTGGAAACAATTAGAAACAATAATTATAAGCTCTTTATTTATGTGGATAAGCTAGTAGATTGATTAATTGAGTATGTTTTTTATCTAAACATCCATCTGTACTAAATGACATCAATTTGAATAACAAAAGTAATGGTTAATGTGAAGTGTTAGCACAATTCAAGCTCATGATATCGACAATCGATTAGGAAGCATCGAGACACATCAGCCAAAACATTGTGACATGGTATTGGGTAATATACATGAAATACTAAATAGAAGAAAAAGTTGGGCGTGCCCAAGCATTTGGACAGNGTAGCACAATTCAAGCTCATGATATCGACAATCGATTAGGAAGCATCAAGACACATCAGCCAAAACATTGTGACATGGTATTGGGTGATATACATGAAATACTAAATAGAAGAAAAAGTTGGGCGTGCCCAAGCATTTGGACAGTATCACAAGCTTCAGAACATAGTAAACAATGTCAACCAATATGTTGTGACTCAATCGAGTCTTTCGAGACATCTCTAAGTCAACTGCAATTCTTACTCGACTCATGGTTTACACGAAGCTTGTATAGGACTCAGAACCGAAGGTATCATTCCAGATACAACTCGACCGAATAGTATTAATATCGGTTGATACTTTAAACCATGAGCGAAAGTCATCACAACTATTATCAAACAATTCATTTTTACTAAACAAACAAATTTAGATGATTTTGAGGNGACAATGACTCAATCGAGTCTTTCGAGACATCTCTAAGTCAATTGCAATTCTTACTCGACTCATGGTTTACACAAAGCTTGTATAGGACTCAGAACCGAAGGTATCATTCCAGATACAACTCGACCGAATANCGAGTCTTTCGAGACATCTCTAAGTCAACTGCAATTCTTACTCGACTCATGGTTTACACGAAGCTTGTATAGGACTCAGAACCGAAGGTATCATTCCAGATACAACTCGACCGAATAGTATTAATATCGGTTGATACTTTAAACCATGAGCGAAAGTCATCACAACTATTATCAAACAATTCATTTTTACTAAACAAACAAATTTAGATGATTTAAAGGACCTATAATATGTGGTCAAAACAAAGAACCTATAATGTAAATAAAGTGTTCATGATCATCCCCTTGTTACATATACATTGTTCTTACCACCACCTCCTTCCTTGAGTCACGCAAGAAACAGTGTCAACTCAGTCGAAAACTTTTGAGAGATTAACAATCAATTCCAAACTTTTCAACTCATTGATGAACATGAAAATTTTGACTTTCAATCATTGATTCTCACAATATCACCAAGAATCTAGTTTCATGATAAGCACGATAAGATTAAGAGGTAATCCAACACTGCTCAGACATAAGTTGTAGAGTCGGTGCTTTTAGCCAATGATGGAAAATGTGTCAATGAGGTTATACTATTTATTGAATGACTTAGTCGGAAAGTAGTTAATTGAGCCTATTTATCAAGACTATCATCCCTAGTCCAAATTTATGCAATTGATTGTTCCTCTACATTATGGTTCCTCTTCGCTATGATCAAATTGTCCTCCATCCTCAAAGTAGTGAAAAGTGTACTATGTTTAGCAAAAGCATAGGTCTCAATGACAAACATCATATCTTTAGTCAATCATGCCTATTTATGAGTTGTCTTGTTTCCCAACCGACCACTAAACATCGTACCTACTCTCTCCAATGTTTTGACTAAACAAAGTTTGGATTATATTCAATCTTTTGTTATTACTAGCAATACACGACGTGCAATTAATCTGTATTATAATTATTGCTAAATTTAATTATTAATTTATTTTATAAATTTTTGAATAACTAATTTGTCATTTATTTAGGTATCTCTCCAACCCTTTTGGGCATTTGCACATCTAATTATATTATAAAATTATTAATTTTTATTTTATTAAACAGATTGATTAGATCGCTCATAATATTAATATATTATTATTGCATACTAAAAAATAAAATATAAAATATATTGGACCGTAATATTCAACCTGGTAACTACATGTGTATAATAATTTAATATATATACGACTTTACTTCTTCATATAAATATAGATAATTGCATGTAATTATACTATTAATAAATGATTTCAAAAGAATTTAGAAGTCCTTATAAAAAGAGTCCAAAATAAATTGAAAGTCAAATAAGTGTAAAAAAAATTAGATGAAAATATATAAGTGGGTATAATTAACTTTATTATAATAATTTGGAAAAAATTTCACAAATGCTAACATTTATAAGTAGTATAGATAACTCATCTAAATTCTGCAGAATTAGATAATATAATAGCGAGAAGTTTGCAATCCCCATGCTGTCACCGACTAGAGAATGCATGGTCCCATTTTGATAACAAATTCTAGACATCTAATTATTCCTCAAACTACTCACGCTCACTCAAAGCACAAGGGAACCATAGATGCTACTATCCACTTTCATAGATAAACATATACTCTTATGCTTCAGGTAAGGGACCAACATCCGGCAATGTTGGTTCTAGCAAGTTTGTCACAAGCCAGCATAAGGAATCTCACCAGATGGCTCGCTATTAACAGATTAAGAGATAGAACCATAAAAAAAATCAAGCAATTACTACATAATGCAAATCAAGACAGCAGCATATGGCATTCTAATCTCACTCTAGCCAAGCCAAAATTATGAATTGCAGCTCCTAAATTTAAGGATGTGGCTGCCCCTGACACTAGTTCTTTTCATTTGTTATGGAATTTCCGTTAAATATACAAAGCCTTAAGTTCATTGATGCTTCATGTTCTAAAATTAACTTCCCTAAGAGACTACAAAAGACAGGTGAAAAACTATTGCTATGGCTAAAGAAGGACATTTTTTACCACCGAATACTATTCCTAGGTCTTGGCTATAGCATGAAAGATACGTTTTTTGTTGGCCTTTGTGAATTAGCAACATTATAGACAAATCCCATCCTTCCCTCTCATACACAATCATCACATCTTAGCACGGTTCATTATTTGTTTTCTCAACGGAAGAGACACCAGTATTGTGAAAAGCAAACCTAAGTGAGAAGCGAAGCGAAGCGAGCCTTAGTCGCCTTGAACATCCCAGGCGAAGCGAACATCCCAGGCGTAGCGAGGATAAGTAAAACATGGAAAAAACGAGCCTAGGCGATGAAGCAAATAAGTGAGCCAAACGAGAAAAGCGAACGTNGGTGAGAAGCAAAGCGAAGCGAGCCTTAGTCGCCTTGAACATCCCAGGTGAAGCGAGGATAAGTAAAACATGAAAAAAACGAGCCTAGGCGATGAAGCAAATAAGTGAGCCAAACGAGAAAAGCGAACGTTTAACTGCAATTTTTTTATTATCCCCTTCTCCTCCTCCTTCCTTAACATTAACCAAACCCTGACAGAGATTATGTTATGTGTATATATATAAAATAAATTAATTGATTCATCTAATAATATCATATGACAATCTGTCTTATTATGATTAGATGATGTTGAATGCTCAGTTTTGATGTGAATGTTCTTGTTAATCAATTTGTTAAGTGTTTTATTTGATTAATCAATTTGTGAGTACTCTATTTAGTGATAATATTAATCAATCACGGGAGAAGTCGGACTAACATTTGCTAACTTTACATTTAGATGACGTGATTATGTTAACTGATTATTTTTAGAATGCAATAATGTTCAATATTTAATATCTTATCTATTTAAATTTTGTTGATGGTTATTTTGGTTGCATTTAAATATTTTGTACTTGTAAAGTTAAAACTTAAATATTTATGAGTAATCAAAGTATCAAAATAAAATATTTGCTTATTTTTTATATTGTTCGCTTTGCTTCGATGAAGCGCTTCTCGCCTAGGNATTAATATCTTATCTATTTAAAATTTGTTGATGGTTGTTTTAGTTGCATTTAAATATTTTGTACTTGTAAAGTTAAAACTTAAATATTTATGAGTAATCAAAGTATCAAAATAAAATATTGGCTTATTTTTTATATTGTTCGCTTTGCTTCGATGAAGCGCTTCTCGCCTAGGCCCTTAAGAGACCGATTCGCTTTACACCTTAAATAACACTGAGAGACATTATAATTGTCTAGAAATTTTGAAATAACTCATTCAAAAATTAGTGGCACAACCTATTTATAACTTCCCAACGATCATCTCCTTAGATTGATCTATNGGCTTATTTTTTATATTGTTCGCTTTGCTTCAATGAAGCGCTTCTCGCCTAGGCCCTTAAGAGACCGATTCGCTTTACACCTTAAATAACACTGAGAGACATCATAATTGTCTAAAAATTTTGAAATAACTCATTCAAAAATTAGTGGCACAACCTATTTATAACTTCCCAACGATCATCTCCTTAGATTGATCTATTTTCCTCACTTGCAACTTTGGAAACCTCAATAAGGCTTAATATAAGTTGATTGTTCCTTATTTTTAATCAAATTGGGACATCTAATTCCTTTTAACCCTAAGTTGCTAACTAATGATTGAGAGATTTAACTCTCCTTATCCAAATTGCATGACCCTACTCACAACCCAAAAACTACTTCCGCCATTACCACTATTATATCTCCACAAAAATGCATACATGATTTTAATGGTAGTAGTAAGAAATCTTTTGATCCCAACCACCAAAAAGCTCCCAAAGGAGAACCGATGGGAATCGTGTAGGAATTGGATAGATATAATAGATTAATTATGATAGTTATTTAGATACTTTTAATATTTATCGTTTAAATAATTTTTTTTAACTTTTAAGGGTTTAGTTATCATTTGAATTATTTATTTATTTTAGTGTTTGTGATCT